GATAACATACTCATTTTAACACAGCTTTTATTTTCGATTTCAAAACAAAATCTCCAGGAAATAAAATACTAACAATGGTTGTTTACAAATGCAATAAAAATCACACCTTTTAAGAACCAAAATTGACAACTGCTAAAAGGCAGATCACTTGCTTTACTGAAAATAAAAGAAAAATCCAGAAACAATCAATGTCAACAATTAAAATTAAATTCAACAACATTCTATATAATGCTACATTCCCCAATTAAGAAAGTGGAGTTCACATATACAATTAAATGGTATGTGTAGAGAAGTGGCTGAAATGCTTCATATTTCACAGTAAATTATGCATTAAAGTTTATTAATTGCATAAACTTCCTGAGTGGCTCCCATGCTGCACTTGGCCTACATGCTTAATATTAATGTCAAACAAATTATAGTTTTAAGTGATTGAGCATTAGACCTTGAACAACTGAATTTTCTAATTAGTCACCTTCTGCTGAGGTATGTTTGGAATCACAAACCTCAATCTGAAAATTTAAATGAGAGTGGGAAAGAAATGCTACTTTTTTTTAAAAGCTGGCAGGATGACAAGTATACATTTAGGCGTATATTTTACACTGGCACATTTTTTTCTGGGCCCAGTTTCTTCCCTTTTTGCTTGACTTTTACCTTTTTTTTTAATTTTAAAAAAAAGCTTCCAGAATGTGAGCTGGTGATTTGACAGTCTTCTAGCTGCCTCAGTTGAAAATAACTTCAGTAAAAAAGTTATTAACCTAGGTTTCTAACTATGTTGGCTGTGAAGGAAGCTGACAAATGTTTGTGTTCATCTTTCACATATGAATACTATTTCCAGGGTGACCTGAAAGCATTTAGTTTTAAGGAAAAAAAATCATACTAATTTACTTCACAGGATTTTATCAAGTTTAAGTCCAGATATGTTAAAAATTTTAATTCCAGAAATTACATATATAAAAGCAATGTCTTTTTAAATTTTCCATCCCTTCCTTTCTGGTTCCCTTTGTGGGAAAGACCCCAATAAACTAGTGAATGGAAAAAAATAGTCTATATATAAATAAAATGACCTGCGATGCCATCTCAAACATCTCATTTCTTTCTCAACCAAATGGAAGATTAAATAACAAAATCCCAAAGCAATAGTAAATGAACCTCAGAAAGATACTTGTGCAAGAGTCCTAAAATACACTCTTTACTAACATGAAATACACTGTAGTGTTACACAGTAAATATGTTAATCAAGAAACATGTGCTTTACAAATATTTGCTGAGTTTTCTTGGGGGGAAAAGGAATGCATTATTTTAATGACATGGACTGCAAAGAAGAAATAAACTTGACATATTAAATAAACAATCACACCAAGAAATAAACTTCAGAGATTAGTTATCCCCCAACTATATTTAAATTAAAAGCATACAGCCATTTTAAAGGTAACAAAATATCACTGTAAATATCTAACAATATGCTAATATGCCGAATGATAGGCCATTGTTGTAGGATTTGTCAAATGTTTCACTGTGGCAATTAAAGCAATTTTAACCCATAGCCCTTTAGGCACAGAGATGAAAAAATGCATCTCTAATAAAAGATGCAAAATACAGGCACTAGACAGTCTAATTTAGATACTTTCTTAACATTTGTTTTATAGCTAACTCCTACAACTAAATTCTATAATATCACCAGCTGGATTGGATTTCCTGCTTTCCATCTCCAAATTGCCAACATTTAATTCACAGAGGCACAAAACTCTTGTCACTTAAACCCAGATTGATAAAAGATTTATGGTCTCTCTCATCGCAAACTCATAGTTAGCAGTGGGATAAGGAGGCAGGCCAGATTTATAACCTGAAAGAATACTGAGAATCAAGGCAAAAAAGCAAGTCTCACAGGCAGTGTTTACTTATGTACCTCAAAATAGCACTGAAAACGAGGTAGATAAATAAAAGAAACTGGGTTGGGATCAGATCTGAGTCCTAAAATGATACATCCCATCATAACGTACATAACACTCCACAATCCAAAAATCACAGAAGGAAAGTGCGTTTTAAACTTTCACAGATAATTTTGCTGCCAAACCATTAGAATTCATGCTTGATATAACATTGGCGAGAAAAGGATGAAAAACAGAATGGGTATTTGTAATATTACAGTAAATTATCTTAAAGAGATTCAGAACTTCTACAAATATACATAGCGTTGTATTCATTAGATTTACACCAATACTGGTTTCATATTCTTATGATGTTACAACCACCTTCACAAACATAGCAGCAGATACTTCATGATGAAATACTCACATTGCCACATATGGAGATACAGTACTATATCAGACTTGCACTTTGAGAAGTAAACATGATGGCTGGACAAACAGACTACACTCCAAATAAACTTTACAAGTAAATCATTTATTACAAGCTTTTTCTCTTCTACAAGAAGGAAAATGAAAAGGGCAGGTTTGTGTGATTTTAAAAAATGGGTAGAAGGCCCTTTTTTATATAATAGGCTCTTTGTTAAGTGAGAAGGGAATTTTGAGCTTTACTTCAATTATTCTGGGAAGGAGGATTACCTCAGTAAGGATGAAAACAGCATAGGATCTAGCAAAATTGCTAAATAATGCAAAACCCCCAAGATAGAAAGCTAGTCAATATTTACAGTCAAAGTTGCTATAATCTGAATAAAACATTTAATGGGGAAAATAACTTAAACAAAAAATCCACAATTATGTTAATAACACTGTTTTCTTCTTTCCAGCACAACTCACTTTTTTCTTTATTTTTTAATTCTACATGCTACATATACATAATGCATACATAACATATATGTTAACCCAACTACTGCAGTCAGCATGGAGACAGCAGTATTCTATATTCATCATCTTCAAGCTTTAGAAGGCTATTTTCTTTCCAGCAAAAAAATCTGAAAAGATTCTAAATATTACAAGGCACTGCAAAAATCTGCAGGCAACCAAGACTATACATAAACAAGAGTAACAAAGTAGCCATTATTTAATGTAGTTGTGCATGTCATCCATGGAGCTTTTTTTTTTCATCCTGGGGTACACAGACTTAAAATATTGTGAGTAAAAAAAGGGATCCAAAAACCTGCAGTAGTTTCACTCTCTGAGTTGTCTTTTTGTAATTATAGAAGTTTTAATTTTTCTTTTCATGAAACACAGGCAGTTTTAAAGAACTGTGGATTTTAGGTATATTGTTTTTGTTCACATGGAAAACACATCAATGCAAATGTCTGCATTACACTAATGTCCTAAAATCATTTTCAACTTGCAAATCAATATTGTACAAGAAATTTGAAGAATCTATACATAAGATTTGGATTCATTTGAACCAGAGTATGTTTTCTGAAAGAAACTGTGGATTTTTATCAACAGTAAATGCTTCCCTGGACGATCCAAATCATAGTGACAGAATCTTCATGCTGATGCATGTGATTCTCAGATAAGTAATCAAAAACACATTTCTTGAAAAAGGGTACTGAGTGTCACAAGGTAGATTGTGCTCAAAAAGTATGTCCATTAATTTTACCTCATCTGACAAGTTCATAGGATAAAATTTTTAGAGAAAAATGTAAGAAAATTGTTAACAGAAATATTGGTGATAATTTGGAATGTTATCCAGTAGAAAGAACTAATTTCTTAGGTAATGTAGTAGAGAAAACTTTGAAATCAGAGTAAGAAGCATTTTTAATATGTGTATGTGGTAACTGGTAAATGCAATTTAAGAAATTAATTTGGGTTTCACAGAATGAGCATTAGGTAATTTTGGAACAAGTCTGTGATATTATTATATTAATCTTAAAAACCAAAGTATATATTTGACATTGCCTCTCTTTCTCCTAAAACTGTATAAAACCCAGTAAAGTGCAACTTGACAGTGATCTCTCTCAAAATCTAAAGAGGATGCAAAAATCATGTAACATCTAAAATTCATCTAAGATTCTTTAGATACTAATAAAATTATAAAAATCAAAATAATTGAATCTAAGGACAACTTAAATAGTATCCTGCGAGGGTTTACTTTCTCACTGCAGGACAGTGTATAAACCCACATCTCTTAGAACCCTGTAAAGCCAGTGTTTCATGTGTAAGTCTCAAAACTTACAAAATCTAGTGTTTCAAGTAAATTTCACCTCAGACGAATGGATCAATAGATGTATAACTTGAATTCTCTGTTAGAAATACAAATGCCCCCCCCAAAATGAGATTCATATCAGCTGCAATATATCCCTTGAAAAAGAATGCAAGCCAAACCAATGCCTCGCATATGCTCAAAAACAACATAGGGTGTAAATGAGAAAAAAGGAGATAGCTGCTTTGAATTATTATCAAATCCTAAGGCAGCTACAGTATCTGCAGAATCAAGGAACTGTTACAGTTCTGTTTTTTCTTTCTCTCCGCCTCACCTAAAACAAGGCTTCACTCCTCCTATTGCTGTGACGACGGGAAGAAAATCACATTAAAAAGGGCTCATGTTTTATACTTGTTGACAAAGTTATTCTAATTTTATACACTAAAACATCTCCTGCAGAAAGTTACTATGCCCTCTATAAAAGGTAAACCTAAAGATAAAGGTATGGAAAATCCTGTAGGACTCCAGGTGTTGGAGGGTCTCACTTCATCCATGTTTGGGGAATATCAGTTTAAATAGTTTTTATATATTTAAAAGAAAAGCATATAACTGCAAATAGCAGCTCGAGAAAGGGGGGAAGGGTTTTTCAGCAATGCATGAAAAATGTCCAGGAATTGATAATGTTCAAGCCGAGCTTATTAAAGCATTCAGAATGGTTTTAAAAATCAAGTATCAAAGAGGATAGGATTTGAAGTGAAAAAACATTCTGTGTGCAATATCCTATGTAAAAACTGCACAGGTCTACAGAATAATGATCTATATTAAATGTCACACTACAACAAAAAATGCAGTGAAGAGTAATTACATATAAGGGAAAATATGGCAGAAATCAAGGAAAAAGTTTAATATATTCTATGCTTATTCATTTGGGACCAGGAGGGACTGTAGACGGATTCTGCAACGGTGAACCTGGAAATGCCTGCATATTCATCCCTGGTTGGAATGGTCCCCCAGACTGGGGAGCAATTACTATAGATTGTTGAGGTGTTCCTGAAATTCTTACCCATTGTACTGGATACCCTGCCCCCACTACAGCATTATACTGACAAACATGGGGCATTCCATATGATGATAAGGACCCAGGAAATGACGTGACTGGGAGTCCTTGTGGCAAAGAGGATGGGACAGCTCCACGGATTTGGGACAGAGAAGAAATCCATGTTGATGTGTAGCCCATAGCAGGTGGAGTATTCTAACAAAAACAAAAATAAAAACAAAAGATCAGTTTATTTGGTGGATGCTTTTAACCATCTATATGCCTTCCTATTCATTTTGACTTACAATTCGCATTTTCACTACGTGGCTACCATAACAACCACATTCTGTGTACTAAGAATAGTTATAAACCTTATTTGATTTCACATTTATGACTTCACTGCAACACAGACATTTTTAGTTGAAGAAACAGAAGCATAAATTTGTTAATACCAATACCACTTAGCAAATTCACAGTAAGGCAAAGTTTTGAAAACAATTCTGGCTAACTCTAAGGCTAAATTTTACATTTTAGAACCTCTTACTCATGCTAACACTATTTTCTATTGTTATTTCCTTGATCTAGTCAAGGGCATTCTCTCATGCTGTGTCAGATTATCTTTTTTTTTAGCTTTTTGGGACACACCTGGAGATGCACAGGGGTTAGTCCTGGCTCTGCACTCAGGAATTACCCGTGAAGGTGCTCAGGGGACCATATGGGATGCTGGCAATCGAACCCCGGTTGGCCGCGTGCAAGGCAAACGCCCTACCTGCTCTGCTATTGCCCCAGCCTCTGTGTTAGATTATCTTGCCACATAATGCTTTGAAGACAAAGAAGCATGATTTAATATGGCATAGGGTAAAGAATCATGTACTTAGTAAATGTTACCTTCCTAACCTCCTATTCACTATCTTAAAATTTGGCATTTCTGTTCTAATTTTTGAAGTTTACTCAGTTCAATTAAATTTTTGCAGTAATGAGAAAATATTTCTTCATGACATTTCTTAGCATATTATGTTTAGCATATGCATATGTATAAACATTGTTGAAGTCTTATACACATAGGAGAATAATTATAATGGAAGCAAATAATTCTACCTTAAAGGAGAATTCTTGGTATCAGTTTCAAATGCTTAACTGATCTAAGCAGGAAATGGTCAAACTCAAAACATTTCAACAAAATTTTCACTAAAGTTTCAAACTAACAGTTAGGATGAAGCTTTTAGCTTGAGTCAAGAATGAATCACTCTAAATGACAATCTCTCTTGAGGTAAAGAAAAAGACATTTGAGGGGGTATGGTGCCACCAGCAGGTCAATCTGTACCTGTGAGGCGAGTGCATCAGCAGCCTGATGGCGCCTTCAGACTTCCAGATACCCCAAAATTGCTGCTGTGCCTTTGGCCAGACCCCAAAAACTTGGGGCAAAATTTACCAAGAAAGTAAACGGTCAAAAGTTAGGTATGTGGGAAACACACCCACAAACCACCTCCGGCTCAGCTATATAATTGGAGGCAAGGCCTCTTTGGTTCCTGATTGAACTGCTTAATGGCCATGATCCCAGAGACTCAGAAATGAATATCGGAACCCAGCGGCTTTAGGTAGAAATGCGTCCAGTCCCTGCAGTAGGCTACCGGTGCTGGGCCAACCCAGGTGGGAATAAGTTTCGTGCCTTGGCCTGTTCCCCCTGGCTTCCCAGTGGCGCCATCCTTCAGAGGCCACTGGATAGTCACAATTTGGCCCCTAGTGATGAGACATACAGGGCCTCATGGGATAGGGGTGGAGCCGGGCTTGTCCTCCCCACCCCAACGAGACCCCAAGTCATTGCCCACAAAGGGCCTCTCTGGCTCCTGATCAAGCTGCTTAACGGCCATGATCCCAGAGACTCAGAAACAAATCTCAAAACCCAGTGGCTTTTGGCAGAAATGCGTCCGGACCCCACAGTAGGTTACTGTCGCCGGGCCACCCCAGGGAGGAAAGGGTGTTGTCCCTCCACCTGCTCCCTCTTGGCGGCTTGGTGGCCTTCATCCTCAAGAGGCCATTGGACAGTCAGGCTTGGGCCCGCAGTGATGAAACTTGTTGGGCCTTGCAGGATGGGAGGCGGAGCTGGGCCTGTCCTTCCCACCCCAACGAGACCCCAAGTCATAGCCCCCGAACGGCCTCTCTGGCTCCTGATCAAGCTGCTTAACAGCCTTGATCCCCGAGTCTCAGAAACAAATCTCGAAACCCAGAGGCTTTTGGCAAAAATGTGTCCGGACCCCGCAGTAGGTTACTGTCGCCAGGCCACCCCAGGGGGGAAAGGGTGCTGTCCCTCCGCCTGTTTCCTTCTGGCGGCTCTGTGGCCGTCATCTTCCAGAGGCCCGTGGACAGTCAGGCTTGGGCCCGCAGTGACGATACTTGTTGGGCCTCACGGGATGGGATGGAGCTGGGCCTGTCCTCCCCACCCCAATAAGACCCCAAGTCATCACCCATGAATGGCCTCTCTGGCTCCTGATCAAGCTGCTCAACAGCCATGATCCCAAAGACTCAGGAGCAAATCTCAAAACTCAGTGGCTTTTGGCAGAAATCCCTCCAGATTTAAGTGTTAAAATTTTGGAATTTCAAAATCGCGAGGCAACTACTGCAGCCACGCGACATCATATATTATTCGTAACCAGCAATAGAACACAAATTGTCTATTGTTGCCTTTTCAGCAGATCTGAGTGTTGGGGTAAAATCTCAAATAATAATGGTGGGTCTGGGGTTGAAATATTGAATGTGATCAAAGAAGAGAGAGAGTAATGTGGAAATCATCTGCCCCACAGGTAGGGGGAGGGTGTGGGATGGGGGTATAATGGGGTTTTTGGTGGGCAATGGTGAAGGTACGGGTGTTTCATTGTATGACCGAGACTTGGACCCAGAAGCTTTGTAACTGCTCTCACGGTGATTCAATAAATAAAATTATAAAAAATGAAAAAAAAAGTAAGGTGGAGTTCATGCACAATTCAATCAGCTAATCAGTGGCTGAATAAATAGCAGTACTCCTACAAAAAAAAAAGGAAAAGACATTTGAAGTTCAACAATACCATTTTCCTATCAGTTTGGTTGTTATAATTAAATCATTCTCATTTAAGATAGCACATATGGTCTGGCTATATTTTAATGGTTATTTCATGTATCCATAAACAAACTTATTTGTATTGTAAACTTTGAACTTTTTAAAATTAAATTCTATAACGAACATACTTACTTTACAAATAATAACAGTGATTTTATTTTTCAAAGAGAAAAATATTATGTTTTGGCAATTGCCTTTGCATGTTTAATCTTCTTTTAGATATATCAAAGGCATTTCAGACTTCAATAAACAAAAGCAAACACAGGCTTTTTCTCTATCAAAATATACTACATGCTTATTTATACCCCCATTGCAATAGCTATGCATCACAATGCTGGCTACATATGCAAGTCAAATAACTAGACATCATTGATAGCTCCTTTCTGCTATCTATCCAATACATCCCTAAGACTTATTTTATCTCAAACATTTTTGAGATATCTGTTCACTTCCCTTTATCTATATTTCCCTACCTAAACTACTATAACTGTTAGTCTACCAACATCTACCCTTAACTCCAGTAATTCTTTCTTCTTACTCCAAATTAGAGTAATCATTTCAAAAAAGCAAATCTGATCATGGCAATCCATCTTAAAATAAAGACTGTAATCATCACTTTTTTAAAGATTCTACTTACAAGTGCTGGAATTATATTCATGAGAAACCATAGTTAACGGTAACCACAGAATCCAAATGAATAGAACTAATACAGGGCTTTTATATATGCTTTCTCTGTTTTTCTGTTTGTTATATCCCTTCCTCTTTCCACCTTATTAAATTACTTCAGATCATAACTTTTTCAGTGAAGATTTTCTTGACTTTCCCTTACTAAATCAAATTTCTCTAACTGCACAATAGCCAATAATTTTTGTAGTCCTTATTAAATTTTCAATTTCATATTTATTTTAAAAGTCTGCTAATGCCCAACTGACCCATTTGAGTATAAGTTCCATGATAGTAAGGAACGTACTTGTTTTTGTTCTTCAAATCCAATACCTGGCAGATGACTTAGCACACAGTAATAGTAAGACATAATTGTGATAAAAAATTTTCTAATAAAGACTACACAAATGTAACACATGATAACATTAGATAGTAAGATAATTATTTGCACAGATATAATCAACTGAATTTAAAAACACAAAAGTGCTTTCCATATATAAGGTATCTACTATGTGCTAGATGTTACTTCATAGCAATTCTGCAAAGTAGGTATTATCTCTACTTTATTTATTTTTGAGTTTTTGGGACACACGCAGTTGTGCTCAGGGCTAACTCCTAGATCTTCTCTCAAGGATCACTGTTGATGGGACTTAAGGAACTATAGGGGGTGTCAGGGATTGAAATCAAGTAGGCTGCATGCAAGTCAAGCACTTTGTGCTACCTCCAGTCCTTGTCTTTGCTGAAAGCCATGAAACTGAGGCACAAATGACTTAACTAAAGTCATAATACTGTAAATTGAGCTGACATTGGAACCCGAGTATACTAAAAAATCTTAACCTTTGGGGCCTGGAAAGACAGATTAGCCAGAACTTTTATTCATACTACATTTTCTATTCAAACTTGTTCCTCCAAACATCCCCTTTAATACTACAATAAAACACATTCCTATGTACACTAATAAAACACGGTCATATATATATATACACATATATAATTTTGTTAATTATGAGAGTTCATATTTTAAGCCTTTATTTACTCATACTATGAAAAAGTAATACCTACACAGGAAAGTTCCAATAAAATAATACCCAAATACCACCGTTCAGCAAATTGTTAATACCTTTCCCTATTTCTATCCATGTATACATATATGATGCATATAATTTTCCATAAATATTCTACAAATCAGCCTTCTTCCTATACAAGAATGTATTGCGAACATCTTTCTACACTTTAAATGCTTGTACATCTGACTAGAAGGCCATATGCAATTACTAAGAATCTCATCTACAAACTTAAGATGCCTTTAGTAGAACTGGGGAGACAGCTCAAAGGGATGGAGTGCATGCTTTGCAGGCTGGAGCCCTGGATTTGATCCTCAGTACCACATGGTCCCTGAGCATCAGTGGTAGTGACCATCCCTGCCCATCCCCCAACACTGCACCATGAATAGTCCTGAGAACTTGCTGGGTAAAGTCCTAAAACAACAAATTAAAAACATGACTTTGATAATATTCTAGCTAAACTTTAAAATTATTTTTCATATTGTAAAAAAAAAGACATAATATTGTCTCTAATTGACACGAGGTAACTTTTCCACAAAAGAAAATTTTTTTGTGCTCTTGCAACCATTGACTGAACTAATCCTCACTAAAGATATTTTCTGTTTTATGGCAAGCTACCTGTGATGTACTCGATATGCCAAACACAGTAACAAGTCTCACAATGTTACTGGGCCCACTCCAGTAAATCGATGAACAACGGGAGGAGAGTGACAGTGATGCAACTTATTTTACTTTGTTTTTTTTTTTTTTCATTTTTTGGGGGAAAGCACATATGGTAGTACTCAGGGCTATTCCTGGCTCTGAGTTCAATGCTTGGCATTGCTTGGTGCACTATTTGTGACGGACCAGTGTAAAGGAAGAACCCTATCCCTTGTACTATCTCTCTGGCTTGATACTTTCTGTTTTAATATCTGATGGTTCCTTCCAAATTCAATGGGCTGGAGCGATAGCATAGTGGTAGTACATTTACCTTGCGCACAGCCAGCCCGGCCGAGCCGGGTTCCATTCCTCTGCCCCTCTTGGAGAGTATGGCAAGCTACCAAAAGTATCTTGCCCGCTTGGCAAAGCCTGGCAAGCTACCTGTGATGTATTCAATATGCCAAACACAGTAACAACAAGTCTCAAAATGGAGACATCACTGGGTCCGCTTGAGCAAATTGATGAATAACGGGAAAAGAGTGCTACTACAGTGCTCCAAATTCAATGATTGAAAACAGGAGTCACCATCTCCTTTTGCAAATCAAGTTTAAATGGAACAAACCCACATACATTCTTTTATATATCATATGTTTGTTTTCAAATTATTAGAAAGTTTAAGAGTTATAACAGAATTGCTTGAAAATATTTAAAAATATTGAAAAATTTCCCCGGGCTAGAGCCATAGCACAGCGGGTAGGGCGTTTGCCTTGCATGCAGACAACATGGCTGGCCCGAGTTCAATTCCTCCGCCCTTCTCGGAGAGCCTGGCAAGCTACCGAGAGTATCTCGCCTGCATGGCAAAGCCTGGCAAGCTACCTGTGATGTATTCGATATGCCAAATACAGTAACAAGAAGTCTCAAAATGGAGACGTTACTGGGCCCGCTCGAGAAAATTGATGAACAATAGGGGGACAGTGACAGTGACAGCCCTTTCCCCATAAATGCTTCCTAACCTCTGGTCTGAAAGATATTTATTTGCTCAAAGACAAATGAATCTAAACAAAGATAAAAGTCTATGCCATCAAATCAGTCTCTCATATTAACTACAATCATAGGTCAAAAATGGTCAATTTGTATGTTCTTAATTCTCCAAAATAAAGTGGATGGAATATAACTTACTTCACATATTTTGTTCCAGTTGTCTGTTTCAAGTTTGTGTTGACTCTGCTTAAGTTGGTTTAAACTTGGTTTTATAAGAGAATTGCCTACGGCTTCCTTTGTCCAGTCATCCACCAGCTTGTGTAAATCATCGGTGAACATCCCTTTTTTACTCGCTGGAGACTGCTGGCATGATACTGCATTACTCTCTATACACAGTGAATCTGAAAGAAAAAAAGGAAACCATAAAATTGAACTAAAATTTATTTTGCCAACAATGAGATTGATAGTAAAAGTTGTGGTATACAGACTTGGTAACCAGAAATTTGAGTTTATCTTGGCAATCTTCATTTAAAACTGTAACTTTGGAATTAATTACTAGCTGGAGCCCTTTTGTCTTAGATGTTTCTTCTTATTTGAATGGAAAATTCCACTGTAAGTCATCTTAGGTATAAATCAAGTATAATATAGTTTTTCCAGCAAAATTAGTGGCAACCCTAATCAGTTTCCTCAGAATAAGTCTTTGAATAGTTTAAAAAACAATCACAGTCATTGTTAGTGGGAAATGTACACTGGTGAAGGTATGGGTATTGGAATATTGTATGACTAAAACCCAGTCATGAACAACTTTACAACTTTGTTTCTCATTGTGATTTAAAAAATTAAAAAAAATCACAGAGGGTAACAGAGATAGTACAGGGGTTATGGTGCTTACCTTACACATAGCTGATCCCAGTTTGGTCCCTGGCACTGCATATGGTCCCCTAAGCACTGCCAGGAATAAGCCCTGAGCAAGCCAAAGTATGGCCAACAAACAAACAAAACTCACAGATGGGGTTAATGGGGGTGTTGGTGAGATAGTACAGGATTTAAGGTACTTACATTACATGTGTCTGACTAGGTTCAATTCTGGGTACTACTCATAAGCAGAGCCAGGAACAGCTCCTGTGTACCATCAGACTGGTCCACTCGACAATATAAATATTTTTGTTTTGTTTTGGGACCATATCTGGTAATGGTCAGGGCTTACACTTGGTTCTGTACTTAGAGATCACTCTTTGAGGGCCCAGGGAGTGCCAGGAATCAGGTCAGTCATGCGCAAGGCAAATGCTCTACCTGCTGTACTATCGTTCTGCCCCAAACTTTATAATATCACAATATTAAAAGTATTAAAAATTGGTCCCTTTGGTCCAGCCGCCCATCAGAGCTGCTTCCTTGTCCCCCATCCCCCAGGTTGGTCTTTGCGCCTCCCCTCAGACCTGGGACTGGAACCCCACAGCACAAGTGTCTGCAGGCGCCACCCCCCCATGCTGGGAGGAAAAGGGGATCTGCGTCTCTCTCCACCTGTTCCTTTGGTCCGGCCGCCCATTAGAGCTGCTTCCTTGTCCCCCATCCCCCAGGTTGGTCTTTGCACCTCCCCTCTGACCTGGGACTGGAACCCCACCGTGCAAGTGTCTGCAGGCGCCCCCCCCCTCCAGTCCTGTCCCCCACCCAGTCTTTACTTCCTGGACAAAAACCAGGTATACGTGGAGGCGTGGCCACTTCAGAGGCGGGCGTGGCTTTAAAAAGTGGGCGTGGCCTAATTTTCAGCGGGACAAAGCTCACGCGGCCACAGGTTGTTCATTCAAACCAACAAATATTACCCCTCCACATACACAACAACATGAGGAAACAACGCAAATCCCCACCACAGGGAGACCATGAGGAAATACCTCTAGAAGCCTCAGTAGGAGCTAGCCACCTTAGGGACCTCTCTGACAAGGAATTCAGATATGAAGTCATCAAGATGTTCAAGCAACTCGATGAAACAGTCACACACATATCCGCTAAACTGAAAGAGGACATGAAAGAAACAATCGATAGCACAATTGACAAAATACAGCAAGAAATGAGAGCCGAAATTGGAAAGCTCCGCACAGAAATGGCACGCATCACAGATTCCATAGATGAAGTCAAAACCTCACTCACTGCCCTCAAAAATAGAACGACCACAGCTGAGGAAAGAATCAGTGACTTGGAAGATCAGCTGCAACAAGCCAACAGACAACAGCAAACAATAGCAAGAGACCTCAAAATAGCTCAAGAGCGAATCAGAGTCCTACGAGATGATTCCAGAAGAAACAACATTAGAATCATTGGACTACCAGAAGCTCAAGGAAACAATCCCAATGAAAAAACCATGCTGAAACAAATTATTGCCGAAAAATTCCCAGAGCTCCATAATACAGCCATCCAGATTCAAGAAGCCCGAAGGGTGCCAGCTAAAAGTGACCCCAACAGAAATACCCCAAGACATATTATAGTTAGCATGATCGATGCTGCCGATAGAGACACAATACTGCAAGCAGCAAGGGCAAAAAAGGAAGTCACATACAAAGGAGCACCCCTGAGATTCACAGCAGACCTCTCAGAGGAAACCCTACAAGCCCAAAGACAGTGGCGAGATATAGTAAAAAAAACTCACTGAAATGAATGCCTCACCAAGAATACTCTATCCGGCTAAACTCTCACTCCAAATACATGGAAAGCTACACCATTTTCTAGATAAACAGCAGCTCAGGAACTTCATAGACTCAAAACCAAACCTAAAACAAGGACTAAAGGGGCTACTATAAGACAAGACAAACCCTACAACTACAACACACCTGCACAGAAACATGACACAAAACCCCATAACCATACTCTCTCTCAATGTCAACGGTCTCAATTCACCATTGAAGAGACACAGAGTGGCAAAATGGATACAGACACAAAACCCAGCATTCTGCTGCCTACAAGAAACTCATCTCAACACTCAGAGCAAACACAGACTCAAAGTCAAAGGATGGAAAACAATCCTGCAAGCAAACAGCTCCTGTAAAAAAGCAGGGGTGGCCATACTGGTATCTGACAACATTAATTTCACCCTGAAAAAGGCTAGAAGGGACAGTGAAGGCCATTTTCTATTCATCAAGGGATACGTACAACAGGAAGAAATCACACTCTTAAATGTATACGCACCTAATGAGGGAACAGTCAAATATTTAAAACAACTGCTAACAGACTTAAAGGAGGACATTGCAAGCAGCACAATAGTACTTGGAGACTTCAACATTGCCCTATCACTTCTGGACAGATCAACAAGAACAAAACCCAGCAAGGAATCATTGGCTTTGAAAGAAGAAATAGAAGAGAGAGGGCTTATAGACTTATACAGGGGTTTACACCCCAAAAAGAAAGAATACACATTCTTCTCCAGTGCACACGGAACATTTTCCAAAATGGACCATGTGCTAGGACACAAAACATACCTCAACAAAATAAGGAAGATAGAAATAGTATCAGCCATCTTTTCAAACCATGATGCACTGAGGATAGAAGTGAATCACACACAGACACGAAGAACCAAATCAAACACCTGGAAATTAAACAACTCGATGCTGAACAATGAATGGGTCAGGAACAAAGTCAAGGACGAAATAAAAGATACCTGGAGACAAATGAGAATGAAGACACGAGCTACCAGAAACTATGGGATGCAGCAAACGCTGTATTAAGGGGAAAATTTATAGCTCTGCAAGCATATCTTAGGTCTGTGGAAATGGTGCACATAAACAACTTGACCTCACAGCTCAAGTCCTTAGAGAAGGATCAACAGAAAGAACCTAAATCAGGCAGAAGGAAAGAGATCATAAAACTTAGAGCAGAAATCAATGACATGGAAACCAAAGAAACAATCCGAAAGATCAATGAAACCAAGAGCTGGTTCTTCGAGAGAATAAACAAGATAGATAAACCACTCGCAACACTCACAAAGAAACAGAGAAGGAGAGAACCCTAATAAACCGAATCAGAAATGAGAAGGGGGATATCACAACAGAAACCAAAGAAATCCAAAAGATCATCAGAGACTACTTTGAAAGTCTGTATGCCACGAAACAAGAGAACCTAGAAGAAATGGACAAATTCCTGGACTCCTATAATCTCCCAAAGCTGAATCAAGAAGACCTGGAGTATCTGAACAGACCTATTAACATCAACGAAATAGAAACTGCAATCAAAAGCCTTCCCAAAAACAAAAGCCCGGGCCCAGATGGATTCACTAGCGAATTTTCCCAAACATTTAAAGAGGGAAGAAACATTCCAATTCCAAACATTTAAAGAGGGCTGGAGCGATAGCACAGCGGGTAGGGCGTTCACCTTACAAGCGGCCAACATGGCCGACCCGAGTTCGATTCCTCCGACCCTCTCGGAGAGCCCAGCAAGCTACCGAGAGTATTGGATATGCCAGACACAGTAACAACAAAGTCTCCAATGGAGACGTTACTGGGCCCACTCGAGCAAATCGACGATCAACGGGAGGGCCTTTACCTTTATCTTTACCTATTTAAAGAGGACCTGCTGCCATTGCTTCTCAAGCTCTTTCAGGAAATTGAAAAAACGGAAACTCTCCCAAACAGTTTCTATGAAGCCCATATCTCTCTAATACCAAAAGGAAACAAAGATACCATGAGAAAAGAAAACTATAGGCCGATATCCCTGATGAACACGGATGCGAAGATTCTCAACAAAATACTAGCAAATAGAATTCAACTACTCATCAAAAAGATCATACAAAATGACCAAGTAGGATTCATCCCGGGGATGCAAGGCTCGTTTAACACTAGGAAATCAATCAACATAATCCACCACATCAACAAAAGAAAAGATAAAAATCATATGATCATATCAATAGATGCAGAGAAAGTATTTGACAAGATCCAGCACCCATTTATGATGAAAACCCTAGCCAAAATGGGGGTAGAGGGTACTTTTCTCAATATAGTTAAAGCCATCTACCACAAGCCTACAGCAAGCATCGTCCTCAATGGCAAACAACTGAGAGCCTTCCCTCTAAGATCAGGGACGAGACAAGGATGCCCACTCTCTCCACTGCTGTTCAATATAGTATTGGAAGTACTTGCAATAGCGATTAGGCAAGAAAAGGCTATTAGGGGCATCCAGGTAGGAAAGGAAGAAATCAAGCTCTCACTATTCGCAGATGATATGATACTATACTTAGAAAACCCTAAAACCTCTATCAAGAAATTTCTAGAAACAATAGGCTTTTATAGTAAAGTGGCGGGTTATAAAATCAATGCCCAAAAGTCCATGGCTTTCCTATATGCAAATAGTGAAAGAGAAGAAAAAGACATGAAGAAAACAATTCCATTCACAATTGTGCCCCAGAAAATCAAGTGCCTAG